TAGTAATAGTAGGAGTACTAGTAGTAGTAGGAGTAGTAGTAGTAGTAGTAGCAATCGTAGTTGTAGTCGCAGTAGTAGTTACCGTAGTACTACTAGCACTAGTAGTAATAGTAGTAGTAGTAGTAGCAGTAGTATTTCTAGTAGTAGTTAGTAGTAGTAGTAGTAGTAGTAGTAGTAGTAGTAGTAGTAGTAGTAGTAGTAGTAGTAGTAGTAGTAGTAGTAGTAGTAGTAGTAGTAGTAGTAGTAGTAGTAGTAGTAGTAGTAGTAGTAGTAGTAGTAGTAGTAGTAGTAGTAGTAGTAGTAGTAGTAGTAGTAGTAGTAGTAGTAGTAGTAGTAGTAGTAGTAGTAGTAGTAGTAGTAGTTAGTAGTAGTAGTAGTAGTAGCAGTAGTAGTAGTAGTAGTAGTGTAGTGGCCGTGGTCGTAGTAGTCGTAGTCGTCGTAGTAGTAGTAGTCGTAGAAGTAGCAGTAGTAGTAATAGTAGTAGTAGTAGTCGTAGTAGTAGTAGTAGTAGTAGTAGTAGAAGTAGTAGTAGTAATAGTACTAGTAGTAGTAGTAGTAGTAGTAGTAGTAGTACTAGTACTAGTAGTAGTAGTAGTAGTAGTAGTAGTAGTAGTAGCAGGCGTCGTAGTCGTAGAACCAGTCGTGGTGATAGTAGTACTTGTCGTACCCGTCGTACTCGTAGTCGTACCGGTAGTCGTAATAGTCGTAGGAATCGTAGTACCCATAGGAGTAGTAGTAGTACTCGTCGTCGTCGCGCCGTCGTCGTTGTAGTAGTCGTAGGTGCAGTAGCAGTAGTAGTAGTAGTAGTAGTAGTAGTAGTAGTAGTAGTAGTCGTAGTAGTAGTCGCAGTAGTAGTAGTCGTAGAAGTAGTAGTAGTAGTAGTAGTTGTAGTAGTAGCAGTAGTAGTAGTATTAGTGGTAGAAGTGGTAGTAGTAGTAGCAGTAGGAGTAGTAGTAGTAGTAGTAGTAGTAGTAGTAGTAATAGTAGTCGTAGTAGTAGTACGTAGTAGTAGTAGTAGTAGTAGTAGTAGTAGTAGTAGTAGTAGTAGTACGTAGTAGTAGTAGTAGTGCAAGTACGTAGTAGCGTAGCGGTAACAGTAGTAATAGTAGTAGTAGTAATAGTAGTAGTAGTAGTAGTAGTAGTAGGCGTAGTAGTAGTAGTAGTAGTAGTAGTAGTCGTATTTGTAGCAGTAGGAGTAGTAGGAGTCGTAGTAGTAGTAGTTGTAGTAGTAGTAGTAGTAGCTGTAGTAGAAGTAGTAGTAGGATTCGTTGTAGTAGTTGTAGCAATAGTCGTAGTAGTAGTCGCAGTACTAGTAGTAGTAGTAGTAGTAGTAGTCGTAGTAGTAGTAGTAGTAGTAGTAGTAGTAGTAGCAGTAGTAGTAGTAGTAGTAGGAGTCGTAGTAGTAGTAGTAGCAGTAGCAGTAGTAGTAGTAATTGTAATTGCTACCGTATCCGCAGCAATAGTAGTAATAGTAGTAGTTGTAGTAGTAGTAGTAGTAGTTGTAGTAGTAGTAGTAGTAGTAGTAGTAGTGGTCGTAGTAGTAGTAGTAGTAGTAGTAGTCGTAGTCGTAGTAGTAGTAGTCGTAGTAGTACCAGTAATAGGAATAGTAGTAGTAGTGCCAGTCGTTGTCGTAGTAGTAGTAGTAGTAGTAGTAGTAGTAGTAGTAGTAGTAGTAGTAGTAGTAGTAGTAGTAGTAGTAGTAGTAGTAGTAGTAGTAGTAGTAGTAGCAGTAGTAGTAGTAGTAGTAGTAGTTGAAGTAGTAGTAGTAGTAGACGTAGTAGTAGTAGTAGTAGTCGTCGTAGTAGTAGTGGTAGTAGTGGTGGTATTTGTAGTAGTAGTAGTAGTAGTAGTAGGAGTAGGAGTAGTAGTAGAAGAAGTAGGAGTAGTAGTAGTAGTAGTAGTAGTAGTGGTAGTAGGGGTAGCAGTAGTGGTACGAGTAGTAATCGTAAAAGTATGAGTGGTAGGGGTGGTGGTGGTGGTGGTGGTAAGAGCAGTCAAGGTAAGAGTCGTAGTAGTAGTAGTAGTAGTAGTAGTAGTAGTAGTAGTAGCAGTAGTCGTAGTAGTAGTAGTAGTAGTAGTAGTAGTAGAAGAAATAGTAGTAGTAGTAGTAGTAGTAGTAGTAGTAGTAGTAGTAGTAGTAGTAGTAGTCGTAGTAGTAACAGTAGCAGTAGTAGTCGTCGTCGTCGTCGTGGTCGTCGTTAGTAGTAGTAGTAGTAGTAGTAGTAGTAGTAGTAGTAGTAGTAGTAGTAGTAGTAGTAGTAGTCGTAGTCAGAAGAGTAGTAGCAGTCGTGGGGGTGAGTCAGTGTCTGAATGAGTGGGTGAGCGAGGAGGATCAGGAGTAGGAGAAGGAGCATGAGGAGGGAGCTGATGCCTCCGTTGTTGGCGCCCCTTCCCCCCGTCTCCTGGGCCGGGTGTCGCAGGAGTTGAGGACCCAGGCGGACTCCGTCGGCGCGGCGAGCGCTGCGCTGCAGCAGGAACGTGACTCTCTCAGGAGCTTGCCTCGCGAGCCTCCCTCCCTTGTCCCCTCCCTTCCTGTATAGGTGCAGTGTGGTTATATATGCCGATGGTGTGTTCTGCTATGGCTATCATTGGCGACCCTGGTTGGTGTTCCTAGGTCTTCCCGTTCGGGGCCGATTCGTAAAGAATGCTCCTTCGCCTTGCTTTGCAAGTGGATTTCTGTGTGGCGGCCTGACACAATGATTTCTCTCGTGGCAACCTAACACAAGGATTCCTTATGTGGCGGTCTCTCAAAAAGGATTTCTTGTGTGGCGGATTTGCACAAGGATCTTCTTAGTTGCGCTTCCCGGTGGCAGTCCTGGTGCTGGGGGGAAGCACGTTGGCACCCTTGAACATAATCAAACCTTTTACGATCTGTATTCGTTTACAGCGTTTTGAACCATCGCAACATGACGCCCACGTCTTGTGTCACTTCCTGGGAATCCAAGACAACACGCGCAACACAACACCGCACAACCAACCGAGCCCCAATCCAAATGAAGGCGCCGCATTCTTGAGATCCGCAGTGCCAGGAACATGTTAGAACGCAGTGCTTCGGGAGATACGATATGTGAGCATGCTGTTTTTTTAAATGTAGCTTGGACTTCCAGAAGTTGGATAATATGGTGTTTCATGATGCCGGGGCTCACAACATTGGTAAACCAGCGAATGTCGTACAGTTTTAATTGCTTCCAAGGATTTCGAGTTTCTCTTCGATGTTAGGCCCCTCGTTAAATATGAGGGATGGCCACAGAAGGAATCCTTTTGACAGGCCGCCGCACAATGATTCCTTGTGTGAGCGCGGCAAAAAGAAACCATGTTGTAATCCGTTGCACATCCATTCTGCCGTCCTTTCGGGGGTTGCTCGACGTGTGGGTAACTCGACCGCTTGGCAAGATAATACTCAACTTTATTTTCATTCAGATGCGTCTTCCGAAGGCACGGGTACCTTTCAATTCGCTTGAATCCCCGTCACCTATTTGTCCACCTCCTCGTCTTCGTCCTTCCCGCTTCCATCTCAACTTTGACACCTTTGCTGCATCCTTACCCCACTCCTCGTCCCATTATGTTCGTCCTCCGTTCCCCTCCTCCGCTGCATCCGTTTTCGCAATTGTCCTTGCCCCCTTCGCTCGTTACGTTGGTCAATGAGCCTTATCCTTGTCTTTACTCCTCGTCCTCCAGAGGAGAAAGTAAGGGGAAGAGGGGAAGGGGGAGGAGTATGTCGTGGAAGATAGCAAGGAAGGCAGTGGAGAGGAGGAGGAGGAGGAGGAGGACCAGTGTAAACCCAAGAGTCATCCACGATGTTGGAATTAACCTTCCCTCCAAGCTCCCTCAACAGAGGCCCCATACAACGGTTCATTTCCATTGAGGGAGCTGCCTCGTTGGAAGACAACCGTTTGAAGACCTTGAAGCATGCCAAAACAGTGTTGTCGGGATTTCCACGCCGCGGATCTACCTGACTGCTGCGTCCTGACGATCTGGCATCGTGCCTCAACGCCATTTTGGGACTTCCGCACCGCGAGTCAACAGCATTGTTGCGCCCGCATAATCCTGAACACCTCCCAAACCCCATGCTTGGTACGTCGATGATGGGAATATCAGAAACTCTCGTCAAGTTTGGAAAACGAATGTGCGCCGCGCTTAGGCGACAACCACACATTGAAAAGGAACCGCCCTCAATCCATGAAGCTCTTGCACAGTTGTAAAACGAATATGCGCGGCACTAGCGCGAGAGCCACATTTTTTCAAGGACCCGCTCTCAACCCGTGAAGCGCTCGCAAATTTGTAAAAGGAATGTGCGCGGCGCCAAGGCGAGAGCCACAGTTTGAAAAGGAACCGCCCTTAATCCGTGAAGCTCTCGCAAATATGTAAAACAAATGTGTGCTGCGTCAAAGCGAGAACCACAGTTTGAAAACGACCCGCCCTCAATCCGTGAAGCTCTTGCACATTTGTAAAACGAACGTGCGCGGCGCTAAGGCGAGAGCCACATTTTTAAGAGGAGCCACTCTCAATCCGTGAAGCGCTTGCAAATTTATAAAAGGAATGTGCGCGGCGCCAAGGCGAGAGCCACGTTTTGAAAACGACCCGCCCTCAATCCTTAAAGCTCTTTTAAATGTGCAAAACAATTGCTCGCGGCGCTAAGGCGAGAGCCACAGTTTGAATTTCACCCGCTTTCTATCTGCGAAGATGTTGCCTATTTTGAAGCTTCAGAGTCATAAATGGTGAGGAAGTCTCAGGCGAAACGCCCAGCCCGCCCTAAACATTGGCCTCGGGGTGCGACAGGGATAAGTTATTTCTCAGGACAAGGAATGGAGGCGGCTCGGGGAGGAGGTGCAGGAGGAGGAGGAGGAAGAGGAGGAGGAGGAGGATCGAGGAGGAGGAGGAGGATCGAGGAGGAGGAGGAGGAGGAGGACGAGGTGGATCCTTCTCGTTCTGCTCCCTGCCTCGGCCCGCTCGCGAGGGACTCGTGCTCCCAGCTCGAGGCCGAGAAGCGGCGGCAGCAGGACCGGCGGCGGGGGCTGCCGGGGTGGCGCTTGCGCCACAGGGAGGACGCCAGGGTGAAGCAGGCGGAGGAGGATGAGGAGGATGAGGAGGAGGAGTAAGAGGAGGAAGAGGAGGATGAGGAGGAGGAGGAGGACGAGGACGAGGAAAAGGAAGAGGAAGAGGAATAGGAATAGGAATGTAATAGGAATGGGACTGGGAATAGGAATAGGAATAGGAATAAGAGTTTGAATGTGAGGAGGAAAAGGAAGAGGGGAATGAGGATGATGATGATGATGATGATGATGATGATGATGATGATGATGATGATGATGATGATGATGATGATGATGATGATGATGATGATGATGATGATGATGATGATTTCCTCGACGTCAGGACCAACATCCGATAAAAGTAAATGGCGTATAGTGAATCTGAACTTGGAGATCCGTCGCAGAGAGCCAAATGTCTCGAAGTGCCCCGCGTGGGCCATGCTGCCAGGGTGCTGCGCAGAGGGGCCTCCTGCGCAGCGCGTGCCAAGCAACATCAACCTGTGCTAGCTGAAAAGATATTCGGCTGCTTCATCTTCGGCGATTGTGTCGAAATCTGGTGGGCCCTCCACCTCGCAGTACTCCTCGGCATGAGGATGAGACGGAGGCTCAACGGAGGAGGGAGGATACGTAACAGTGACCGTGCTGCTACTGGCAGGGAGGCCTTCGCCTCGGACAAAATTAACGCGGTGCTGGACGGTTTCATCTCTGCTCGTCACTGCATTGCATTGCCTAGCAGACTCGCTCTGGAAACAAGACGGGGCCGCCCCGTTTCCAGGAATCACTGCTCGAGCGTCTCCAACCAGTGGCCAACCTCCTCCTCCAGCCAGCCCGGTGGGGCCACGCCTCTGTGGTGGACCGCTTGGCCCTCGGCGTCCAGGGCGCGGCTGATCAAGACTCGGCCCTCCCACGAGGGCGCGCCTATCACCAGCTTCGTCTTGGTGTCGTCGTAGCACTTCTCCAGGCGCAGGAAGGAGATGACGTCGAGAAGATCTTCCTTGCTGATCTCCGCCTCTGCCTCCATGTCCTCGGGCTCCGCTCGGAGCAAGTAGTTCTGAATGGCACCCTTCATGGTGCCGCCCACGTCGCATTTGAGCAATCCCTCCAGGGCCGCGAGCGCGAGGGACGGAGCTGGCGACCCTATCTCCTGCAGGCGTTTCTTGTCCTCTGGGGTGCCGCTCTTCCTGAGAGAATCCAAGGTGTGTTTGTAGCCCTCGAGCTCTTGCGTGATGGCCATGATCACTGGGTGCTCGCTGCTCATCGTGTAGGTGTCCGTGTTGATGCTGCAGTTCAGCCTGGTCTTGTGCGTCGTCTGGAGCAGCAGCTTCAGGGTCGACCGAAGCAGATCCAACAAGTTCTTGTCTTTGCTGCTCCAGGCCTTGGGGTTGTGAGTGCCGCGGCGTCCGCAGCGTCCTGCGCGGCGAGCTGGGCGCCGGCTGGGCTGGTCGGTCTTCGTGTTCTTCTCGCCGTTGTCCCCCTCGTCCACCTCGATGGGCGCAGCTACTCCCCCTTCCTCGGCTGGTGTTCGTGGTGATCGCGATCGCCGCTGCAGCGGCGGGCCTGGCGGGCGTGCAGCCTTTGTCGCCTTCTGGCCTGGCGCGGCGCTGGAGGCGTTGCCAGAGCCCTTCGAGCCCTGGGAGGAGTCCAGCGGGAGTCGCCACGACGCTATCTGCTTGGGCGTCATCCTCTAGTCCAGGAGGTAGCGCAGGGAGAGTAGGTGTAGAGGAGACAGTAGCCACTCGAAGTGGCCGCGGAGGTACTGCAGATACTGCAGCTGAGCGCTGTGCTTCTCGCTGTCGAAGTGGTCGATAGCTAGGCCTGCTGCGAAGGCCGCTGCCCACGATGTGATCCACCGACTGGCGAATGGCAACGCGTACAGCAGGGGTGTCCTCGATCGCACGCGAGGGGCGGCAGCTGGAACGCGCGGGGCGCGACGGGGGAACACTCGGAGTGGCCGAGCGCGTGGCAGGCCTTCTGACAACAGGCTTGAGCAGGGAACCCGATGGCGACGGTGGGAGATGACCCAAGACGTGTGCTCGAAGTTTTTGCTGATCGTGATACTCATGTTGGCATGCGTGATCCAGCGCGTAGTCCCGTAAAGGGCATGTAGTACATGCGGCTGGAACCCCAGGATATACATGATGAGTAAGTTCTGGAATGCATCTACCTGCTTGCCATGCTCGTCGTAAATGTCGGACTGCATGATCTGGGTTTGGGAACGTAGTTTGGCACACAATACATGTGTTGTCGATCTGTAGGGGGTAGTCAAGACCGCTGGCATACCGTGTCCTAGGCTCTTGGATTTGGTTTGATGTGTAACGAGCTGTTTGAGCGTCCCGAACCGTTTCTGGCACGACTCGATGTTACACACGAAGGGGCGGCTCGTCTCGTCGTCGGTGTCCGTCTCGTCGTACGTTGCCGCCGATGGGGGGAGAGGAGGTGGTCACGCTGGCCTCGTGGGGAGCCCACTGAGTCGTCCAGTAGGAAGCCCTGAGAGCCCGAACGTCGCAGTGTAGGAAGGCCTCTCGAACCCACTCGTCACCCCACAAGTTTTTTACAACTCGAGGTTGCCACGCCTCCTGAAAGCTCTCGCCGATCAAGTGAGACGGCAGGCACAGAAAATCGTCCGCGAGCTGTGTGGCCCACGGGTGCACGTTCGGGTCGGCGGAGATCTCACCCTGCGAATTGAGAGTGCCAGGCTGGCGGGGCGGTTGCGTGTGGCCGCCTGCTGCTCGAACTTGCATCTGCCCCAAAAAAAAAAACAAGCGAGAAAGTGGCCGCGATGCGTGGGCAATCGGATGATGCTATGCCACCAATTGAGCCCGCGCGCGAGAAGCTCGATCGCAGTCGGTGCAACTTGCCACTCGAGAAACACTTGTCGGGTAGAAAGGGGTCGATGATTGCTGTGCTCATCCTCCTGATGTGCAGCTCCTCTCATCATTGCTCGAAGTTTACGGGCCAGCGAACTGTCGAGACGGTGGAGCTCTCTGGGGGTCAGCGCGTAGCTCCCGAGGCCAGGCCATGCCCTCCCAGCGACGTTTGACACGAACGCGAGCCGTTTGGCCTTCCAAGGACCTCCAGAAAACCAGTAATCGCCCAAGCGACACCACCCGATCTTACCTGACTGTATGCGGGCCTCGACTTCCCGACGATTGCTGTTAGCGGCATGTACAAATCCTCCAAGATGAATCAAGTCCTGGACCGCGTTCCCAGAAATATTCCGCTCGGCCTCCTTCGTAACCCCGTGAGGTCCCAGTGAGACCAGGGCGTCCTGCTTACTGATGTTCTGTGCGTAGCCGCCAGCCTCGAGGGCCTGGGAGAGCGCGTCGTTGTCGATCTTATCAATCTGCAGCGCCTGGAGGGCCGTGCCGTCTGGCACCAAGAGGATCTTAACTAGATCGTCGATGAAAGCTCCAAGATGCGCATCAAACTCTTCACCAGTAAACGGGCAGTGCACCTGAAACGGGCCCCCCTGGACCTGGGCCGTCTCCTGAGACCGCTGCATAGCCAATGGATAAAGAGATCCCATGAAAAGTTCAGGCTCGTTTGAGTCCCCCATCCCCCCTCCTGTCCCTGGTCGAAGAGCTATGCTAGCATCAGACGCCTGCAGACAAAAAAAAAACTGCAGCCTCGTGTCGGTGCTGCTCGAGGAGGGGGTGGAAATGCTCATCTTCGCATCGAAGTGTGTGTGGGCGGCGACCAGTCGCTCGTGGGAGCCTGTCGCGAATGCGTTCCGCATGTCGTACGACTTAGCAAGAAAATACATTCTGGCAGATCTCATCTTCCATATCAGGAGCTCAGCGAGGAGCATGAGAGATTCGCGACGGTGGGGATGAATGCCTCCATATGCCCACGGCGGTGGATCGAAGTGGGTTCCATACTGAATGAGCCCTATCCTGAGATACAATCGCCAAAAATGGTCGAAACAATGAAGTAGACGTACGCATGAATGAACGTCCTGAATCACATTGCCAGTGGGGCTTTTTCCGTTTTTGCCGATGGCGACCGCCCGGCTGGTGAACGCCTGAGCGGGCAGAGAACCACATCGGTGCACATGGGCGAGTAGTGTGACGAAAGTCTGGATGATGGCGTAGCTGACGTCGTAGTCGATCACGAGCTTCCGTCGATTGGGTTGGTAGACGCGCTCGGCGAGCGGGTCCGCGTAGCGGTAGTCGGCAGTGGCATGCCCCAACCCCGCACGTTGAACACCAGGGCGCGTCAAATGCCGTGGGGCGAGGAGCACGGTGGTGAGTTCGATGGGCCATGCCCAAGGTGGGTTGTATGTAGCGCCTTCGTTTCCTTCCACAGTCGTTTCTGCAGATGGTCGAGCCCCTCCGCTGCCGTCTCAACGTCGTGGATCTCAGGGGCGCCGATGTGCTCCCCCACCGGTTGAATGTCGTTCGGTTGGGCCAGTAAACGTGGAATAGCTGTGGGGTCGTCGATATACATACTGACGTAAGCTGGCGTGGCAGTGAGTCCCCCTTGAACGGCTGGTTGGGTAAGGGCGTCGGCGTATTCGGCTGCAGTGGGGCGCGTAGATGGTAGTGCAAGGTAGGATCGTCGTCGCGGTCCCGTCCGTCGTCCCGCTCGGATGCACATGAGATGTGCAACTCGGGAGAGGTCGCGAGTGGCCCACGCATCGCGGATGTCCTGGTCGAGGCTGACTTTCCACCAGTGATCCATCCATCGTTGGTGTGCTCGTACGCGGCGTTGGATCTTGCGTAGGGTCGCATGGTTGAAGGGTAGTCGTCGGGCTCGGCAGTCGGCACGTTCTTCAAGCAAGCGGAGTCGTTCAAGTCGAGCTTGTTGGTACCGTTGTGGTTGCCCTCCTTCCTTTGTGTAGCACTTGCGACCGCATTCGCGTATGATGTGAGCGATGAGAGCGTTGTGGCGGGTCGGAATCTGATCCATCTTGACATTTCGGAAGACCTCCTTGTATTTGTCGATCTCGGCAGAGACGTCGGTGAGAA